AATTTATAATTTTTTTTTTGGGTCAGAAATTTAAGGTCAGAAACGTGATCCAAGTGGGTCAGAAACAATGTTTTTGCCACCCGGCTATTAAAATATATAAAAAATTTTTCAAAATTTGACCCGGCCGGGTTATGAGAAACAATTAATTAAATTTGTATGGTCTTATTATCTTTTCGAGTTCAAAATTTTATCCTCATACCATTATCGTATGATCTATTGTTTAGAGATCGACAGCGGAAATTACCGACCCAATGATGCAGACACTGGTCTATTATAATGGATAATGTGATACAGTGTTGGAAATCTAAATCGATTTTAATGTTCTCAGGCAATTTTTTTATATGTTTATAATAAAAAATTGGAAAATTGATGTTCTCCGAGAACATTGAGAACATCAGATTTCCTACACTGTGGATAGTTTATGGCAAATTGCGATCGAATACGGAAATTTGGAAAATTTTGATCATCCTAGCCCCTCTCTCCTGATAATGGCGATCGCTTAATAATGTTATCTGAACACTTTATTACGTTTCAATGTAACTATAAAATGGCATGAATTAAGCTCATATTTTTATAATAAAGCATTTTCCAATATGCATAGTCAATATTTTGCACTTTTTACTCTTGTCATCCTCTTTAATTTTACACATTTGGCATTCTCGTGCCAAGTGGATAGTGATTGTTTCCTTGGATATGTATGTTCATCAACGAACCAACAATGTGTTTACGGATGTCATTACGATTACGATTGTCTATTTGATACAACCGATACTCAGAATCAGAAATGTGATACAACGACGAAGACATGGTCATGTACTTGCGGAAGTAATACAGTCTGTCCCGGAGAAGGTCAGTGTATCAACGGACATTGCATACTTTCCAATACTACTGGAACACCTTCACCTGCTCTTAAATCGGGAATAGCTTATCTGTTTAATCAGAGATCGGGAGCTGATGGTTTGGGTCATGTTGCATGGGGTTATTTAAGGGATGCTACAGAATATACCTATGGTTCACTTGATGGTCCTGAATCGAGCATGACATCAAGTTCCAACGGTTTTTGGGTTCATTCAGGAACTTTTGAAGAAATGATTACCACTTTCCAAAGCCAAGAATATGATTCTTATATTCATGGGGTAGTTGATAAACCTAATGTCCAAAATGCAATCCAAATGGAAGAATATCTTGTAAATATACCTTACGATTTGATAGTTAATGATTGTATGGAAGATGCGCACGACATTTTAGTTGCATATGGAGCAAACATGCCGTCGATATTTATAAGTTTAGATATTACACCTAATAGGTGGTATAATGACACAGCAAGCGAATGGAATTCTGTAATCATCTCGTTGTAAAATCCAAGTTTATCCCTTAAACCGTTAAACATACAAATTTGTATGCTTAAATTTTTTTAGGCATGTTTGTATAATTTCTCAAAATTTCCTTATCCTATACTCTCCTCTTTCCATATACAAATTCTATATATCTGAAACATATTGATAGAAAACCATATATCTGAGATATTATCGACATGAAAAGATTGAACATTGTCTTGTATAAATAATATCGAAGTTTAAATAAATATTCTCATTATCCAACCACGTATCTTGCAACTGTAAAAAATCTTGAGCGATAATATCTCAGCAACCACCTAATAAAATTTGATAAAATTTTTTTATTTGAATTCTATAGATCCATAAAATCAAATAAAAAAAAATCATAGAATTTGATCAGATAGTTGCTGAGAAATCGCATACAATCACATACAATCACGTACAATCGATTGTAATCGGCATGCAGCGATCTACAAATTTATCAAAATTTGCAAATCGCGATAATACAAAAGAACATTCAATTTATATACAGTACATTAGATGTGATAACATAAAGATCTAAGAATCTAATTTAAGTAATGTATTTAATACTATTTAATTTATCTTATTAAGATGAAGCAAATGGTTTAAAATTATTGCTAGATCTTAAGTTATCACTGTATAAATCAAACCTATATCGATATGTGTACAAAAAATGTTCTATTGTACTAATTTGACGTCAAAAGGAATACTTACTTTACAGAATCTTTCAATTTTGCAAAATATTTTTAATATAATATTATAAATATATAATAAATTAATTATATAATAAAACTAGAACTGCAGTTAAGTTGCAGAGAGCAAAAATTATAATTGTATATTTATAATAACTCATGAATTACTACATTTTTTCACTCTTGTATTATAGGTAGATTTTTTTTTGTTGTTTTTTTTTAAAAAAAAACATTGAGTAAGGATATCTCAAAAATCATCTAATCAAATTCGATGAATTTTTTTTATTTGAAATCAATAGATTAATTAGTGTTCGAAAATGGATTAAAAATCCTGGTTAATCCGGGATAGATCCAAATCTGATCTGAATCCGTAATTCAGATTGAATCCGGGAGCGATCCATGCCAATCCGACGGTTTGTCACATATATTTGTCACAGCATAAGTGATAAATTCGAATTTATCCCATGCCAAATTCGAATTTATCACTTATATTGTGGCACAAGGTGAGTATTAGATTAGTGGGCTTTTTAGATACACGGTTGTGTTTTTTTTTGATAACACTATTCATTCTTGTTTTTTTCAAATTTTTATCATATTCTTGATAACTTATATAACTTATATATAACATATAAAAAACTTACATGAATGGTGTATTTTTATATATACTTCATGCTTGGTGTACTTTTTTGATATCTATTTCAATTACTATTTAGCTTTCTATTACTAAGGAGTACACTCCCCTAAGGGTGTACGATGCAGTTGTGGAGTGAAGCGGAGCATAGTTATCATATTTGATTTCTATTTAGTTTTTTGTAGTGGAGGAGCATAGTGACTCCGAATGCGAAGCGTAGCGTAGCATTAGTTATCTGTTTAATTCACAATTAGGTTCTTAACACTAAGGAGTATACATCTTAGGTATGAGCGACGCAGTTGCGGAGCGAAGTAGAGCATAGTAATCTTTTAGTTATCAATTAGGTTTCTATAGTAAAAAAGATAGTTAAATTTTATTGTCTTGCAGGCCCGAAGGGTGACTCAAAGAGTCATGGGTGGTCTTCAAGCATCTGAAGTTGTCGAGCATAAAATTGCATGACATAATATCCTTTAGAATGTTTTTTGCAATGTCCACAAGCAGAAGCTGTAGGTTTCCACAATCATCACATAAAACACGTTTTTTAGATCTCCAATGTTCATGGCACCCTTCAGGACGTCGACACCCACGTCCGCAGACTTCTCCAGAATTGTGTATATATTCGCATGTATATTTACCCCCTGACTTTTCGATATATTTACCTCCCTCGATATATTCACCAAACATTTCAATAAATGAATAATTATTTTTTATTTAAACAAAAGATCTGGTATATTAATAAAAAACACTGAAAAAACATATTACTATGGCTAAGATACTTAAATGTCCAGGTTGTGATCGAGAAATAAGAACTGGTAAAACTCAAGATCTTAATAAACACATGAATTTAAATGGAAACCTTCGTAAAGGACAATGCCAACCAGCTTTGCTTATAATGCAAAATGTAGGAAACATTACTCTAGAGCAAAATACACCTCAAACTGAAAACGTTACTCCAGAGCAAAATCCACCATCAACTCCTGAAGGTGATCTCATATCGTTTGATGAAAACCTACCAACACTTCAGCCGAGAGAGGCAAGTGCGCCGGCAGTTGACCCAGAGATAGGATCTAGTATAAAGCAAAACAAAACTATCCTGATTTATAAAAATATACCAAATGGAATCGAGTTTTATGATGGAAAAGGAAAATGGTATGGAGTTAAAGAAGATTTCCGTACATTATCTAATAAGTACTATTTTATTAAAACAGATTTAAAAGAAACAACTATAGAAGCATATAAAAGAATTAACGAAGAATCAGAAGCTATAGCAGAAAAAACAAATGAACAGGTCGATATGCGGAAATCTGGAAGTTATACTTTGACAAGTTTAAAACTTTTTCGAGAAACAACTTTAGCACCAAACAGAAGTGAAAAATCGATGAGAAAGAAAATGCATGGTTAAATTTAGCAACAACTGGTACTTTAGTATTTGCAGAAAAATATGAAGGAGAAGCTATTCAATATGATGTAAATTCGATGTATACATATGAAATGTTAAAGAAAGAAGCATCATGGCCAATTGCACCTGGTAAGTTTCATACTATAAACTCATCTTTTACAGAAAAATGGAGTAAATTTCCTTATGGAATTTATAAAGCAACAATAGAAGGAAATCCATCAAAGTAAAGTCTTCAATGCACGAGATATTTGCGCTATAATCCACATGGGATTTACACACATTATGATTTAGAATGCGCACGAAAAAATGGAATGAAAGTAACATTAATGAATATAACACCAAATGAGCTTATTTACGAAAGAAATATACGGATAACAGGAAAAGACATGTTTGGTAAATGGGGTATTATATTATATAACATTAAGAAAGAAGGAGGAATAGCTGGAAAAGTAAGTAAAGCATTATTAGTTTCATTATGGGGTGTCCTATGTGAGCAAAGAAATGGACAAAATTATG